ATGCAAGACGTGGAGTAACCCTTCCTCTCTGCCCAACACTGGCACGTGCCTCATGGACATGGACTATGTGGACAAACTGGTGAGAGTTCAAAGAGAGCAAGGAAAAACAGAAAGGAGTAAATTGCAAAGGAAGCGGGCTAGTTCTCTGTAGAAAACTAGGGGGTACATGAAAGCAGTTCTGAAATGTATGAAAGGCTGCTGCCAAGAGCAAGTGAATAAGCTGTTCTCCATATCCTCAACAACAGGAACAGGCTCCCTGAGGGGCAGCCAGGGAAGTTTAGGTTAGACATCAAGTATAACAGATAAAACTAGCCATTCATTATTCCACCAAAAAAGCACAGCAGTCAGGAGGTAAGACTGGTTTTCTTAATATTTTGCATGGTCTTGTCTGTCTCAGAAGCTCTTTGCTTTATCTATTTAGAGGCATGCATTCCTGTTCATTTTCACAGGCCCTTAGTGTCAGACATTGGAAACAATTTATTTTTCTGGCTTTGCCACCAAAGAAATGCCCATCTTAGGGTCTTGGCCAACCCAGCGTGCCATGGCATCAGGAGATACCAATAGAGGGAAGGGACTGGACTGCTAAGATGCAGGATGCAGCAGATGACGTCCCAATCACTGGGATCTTCTAGAGAGATGAAGAAACACAAAGAATGGCATAGCCCGAGTCCACTATGCCTGGGTCAGGGAGACGTAATTATATGGCTTCTGGAGGTCTTACTCTCGTATGATTTCTGTTTGACTCTGAGGAGTAGGAAGCCTTATTTGTTCTGTGAGGCAGAATAAACTGTTTCTGGAGAAACAGAAACAAGCTCCTGGAAAGACACAGCAAACCTACAGGTACAGCCTGAGAGTGGAGAAGCATCCCATGCCAGCTGATCCGGTAGCTAATCCACCTGACTGTTAAAAACATACTCTAGGTTTTTTTTTTTCCTAAATGGAATATGCTTAGCTTTCAGACAGTGGATTCATACTTTCATCCACCACAGTGAAGAGACTTTTTCTCATTAATTCAGTCTTGTTGAAGATGATCCTCGACCACAGCTGAGAACCCTCCTAACTTTCTCTTTGGTTACCTCTTGCCATCTAATACAGCAGGCTGTCCTGGATCATCAGTCAGCTGTACTTGAGGTCTCCATGTCACATCAGCCCATGATTAAACAGCCTTTTGTCTGTATGTGCTTATCAGTGTATGGTTGATCGGCACAAAGAGTCTAATCTGCAGCACCTAGCTGCTGTGCCGCCAGTTGTGCAAGGTCTACCTCCTCCAAAAGACATGTTCAACCAACAGGCAGCCATCCCACAATGCAGGCAGGCACACAGAGCCAGAACTGGGAAGTACGTGCCTGTCCACTGCGTGCTACAATTTCGCTCAGGTTGGAGAAAGACCCACAGCAAAGGAAATGCTATAGGGATAAAGGGGATCTGTGCATGGGAGGAAATCCTGCCATGTTCTCTAAAATACAAAATGAAAGCCGGCAGAGGCAAAGCCCGGGCACCAGTGACAAGGCAGGCCACAAAGGCAAGGCAGGTCACAGGAGACGCCTGACAAACGCGCCGAGCTTAGATTGTGTTGTGCGGGCTGAAACAGGGATCAACCTCACATGATGCAGATGAAAGAGCTGGGGCACACTGCTCTACGGGGTTCCCCGTGGAGACATCTCAGCACTTCAGAACCATGGTGTGGGTCTCTGTCACCACACAGAAGACTATTGAGAAACATCCAGCAAAGAGGTGCTTAATGACGACAAACAAGATCATGTGTCCCCATGCACCCCAGACACATTCCAGTCAGGGGAACAAGAGCATGCCAGGGTGGAGAGAGCCCTCAAAGAGCCCTCAGGAGCTCTGTAATGTACTATTATACACAGAGCCTTGGCTCAGGCCTAATAATAAGCAACAACGATGATGACTCAGAGAGCTCCTTTGTTGGCTGGACATGGGATAGGAGCAGGAAGGAGCAGAGGAACGGAGGAGCAGGAAGCCCCTGATGAAGGACTGATTGCCCAGAGCATGTTCCAGGAAAAACAGAAACATGCTTTTCATCTCCGTGACGTATTTCCATCTCCGGTCAATTCTGAAGTCTGTGCTTTCAATACACACTTAAGAAAGCATTCCATCCTGTGCACAAACCCAGCGTGTGCCTCCTAACAGACAGCAAGGAAAAGAGAAGACAAGCTAAATGGTGAGATGTGGAGGAGGGCTAGCAAGGGCTGAGCATGCGAGATACAACAGTCAAAGCCAGAAGACGAGTGGCTGCTCTGTTCTCCCTCATTCTCAGTGCAACGGCCGGAGAAAACTCTCAGTCACGATGTTCTAACAGGGCCTGCCCTCCATCCCTGGGAATATCTACCACAATTAGTAATAACATATCAGAGGAGGTGAAGCATGGAGCGCCAAACAGCGCTTGTGACCTTTTTAGCAATTTTTGCACACCTACTGCTTTCACAGCAACTTTCTGTATCAGCTTAAAATAAATCCAGCCCTTCTGAAAGTAAAGTACTTAAAGATTGCAGAAACATCTAGCCCTTCCTCTACAAAGCCAGAAACTAGCACAGATGTATCTGGGGATGCAAACGTGGAGGCCAAGGAGCTATAGAGGGGGATTAATGCTGTAGTCCTGAACCCCAGCATCTGAAAGAGAAATGTGGTCTCCCCTGTCCCTGACACTGCTGCTTTCAACTGAGAGCAAATAGGTAGGCCCAAGCACTGCCCCCAAGTTTGCAGCCAGGAGACATCTCGGCTCTCTTCCTCTTCTTCTGTGTGCAAGGCTCCATGTATTAAGCTGTGTAACAGCAATGGGTGCTCCACTCCCACAGGAGGTATCTTCTCCTGCATCCCATATTAGACCAGGCAAGAGTGGAGCCGCATCATCTATCTGCAAGAGGGAGCATCTCTGTTTTCAGATGGGGCTTCTTTGAGCATGAGCCCTCCAAGGAGCATTTCTGTGAACTCTGGGCTCCATACACTGAACACAAGGACTCAGTGAGGCCCGCTACTTTCCAGTGGGGTCTCCTGTTTTCCAGCACACAGCAGGGCCTGATGCTGCAGCAGCATGAGAGCAGCTGAATTGCATACCTAGCATAGGACTTGACCAACAACAGGCAAAACCCAGCTGCAGCTTCCAGCTCCTCAGTGGGACGGTGCACCCTGCACTGGCTATGCAGCCCAAGGAGCATGGCTCCCCAGCAACCTCTGTAGTGTGGTCCGGTTTTCAGTTATAGGCACCAACCACACCATGAAAAGGGCAGAATTTGGAATTACTTTTGTGTTTATATGGATAGCAAGAACGTCCAGAGTTAATTTAACATATAGATTTAATATGCCTTCCACAATTAAACCGATCTCCAGCTACCAGTCCTCAGGATAAACCTAACATAGGGCCAGAATCCCTACATATGCCATTGCTACAGCCCAAGACTTTTTAGCAAAGCAGCTTGACCTGGCTACCGGCAGGGACCTGGCAGCAGGCTAGATTAAAGCTCAGGTTAACCCCTCCTGGCATTTCCTGTACCTCTCATTAGATGTAGCAATAATACTCAGAACACACAGGGTAAACTCAGTAGCAAATAAAATAATTAGA